CCCCAAAACCCCAAAACCCCAAAACCCCAAAACCCCATAATAGCAAGACTCAAGAGAAGATTTAAATTAGATACTATTAATGAATATTTACTCATCATTATTCAGAAGAACATTCATATTAAACTCATCATCAGGATCAGAATCACTCTCGCTACCAGAACCATTACCGCCCCCATGCACGTATATGTTCTCATTGGCGACTGCTCTAGGATCGACGTAGTACTTCATTCGATTAAGAGATGCAAGATATTCTCGACTAGAAAAGGGATTATTCAGCATGAATAACTCGACAAGAAAGTGGAGTATCATAGAAGCTGTTATAGAGAAGGCTATATAGTTGATTATTTTTACCAAATCTATTTCTTTTATCTTCATTGTTGAGATTATTTCAATGTAAACACCTCGGACATTATACTCATCCCTCATATTCACATCACCAATTTTGTAATGATAGGCATAGCTCTGATGAGTAGTACGATTAGAGGAATTGGGAATTAGACTTTGAGTTAGAGTCTCATTCCTAATGGTCACATCTGGACCTCAGTCGTGGTCATCTGCTTCACCTGTAGTTCATTCCCATTCGTATCTAATTTCGATCATCTGACCAAATTCTTGAATGTAAGAGGTATTAGCAGTATATGCCCCAAAAAGTCGTTGAAGATTAGTCCTCTGTGGTCTCCCAAAAACTTGATATGACTCTGAATCCCTTGTGTTTATTTCAGATAATGGCAACACATTTAGATATAAGTTCGAGAAATCATTTATTAAATAAGTTGTACTGCTCTGCTCAATAGTAGGGCACCAGGACCAGTCCCTACAGAACCCCGATGCATCATATCATTCTTCAGTCTGAAGTGGAGAATGAGCTGTACCAGACACTCCTGAGCTATGTCTATTAGAAGGGATAACACAGTCTGAATTTGTGGTTCAAGGCCTTATATTTCAATACATTTGAGTTTGCCCCTGTGTAAATGTGATATTAGTCGCAATAAAAATACTGGAACTATCGCCAGACTTAGGGGTACACCAGATCTCCTACATCAAAATATTGCTGGGTGGCTCCATCTGGAGTTTCCCCTATCGCATGTCCTGTCAATAAAGTTTCCACCATTCCTTTCTCGATAGCATTATACACATTTTGGTTATCTCCCAACAGAGCGACTGCGTAGAATGCTATTTGGACAAGAATACTCAGTATCACAAAAGCTATTTGGTAAGGTTCGGTGCCATTAATTTTAACTATTTTCCTGGTGTAATACTTCAAGGGGCTGATTTGGTCTGGATCTACCATATTTTCAATTAAATTTATCATCCCAGGGGTTTTGGGGTTTTGGGGTTTTGGGGTTTTGGGG